GGGATATGTAGAACTTTGTTGCTGTTGGAAGGCTGTGACTCAGAAACCTGAGGAGGATGTAGCGGTAGGTGCAGGAAAGGAGAGTCTGGCATATTGTGGTCATGCGGTGGGCTGATACTGTACAGCCCACCCACCCCTTCTCTCCCTTTCACTGAAACCTGTGGTTGTGATCAGCCCCAGTAAAGCTGGAGGTGATTTTCCGGAGTGTAGGGTTCAGTTAGCAGAACTCCATTTTAGCCTATTAAGCATATTTTCTTTTACTTTCAGCAAAGATCAACGATCTGGTCTCTTCCACTTACAAGACAATAAAGACAAAGCTGCCATCAACATTACGAAGCATGTCCTTGTACTTGTCCAATAAAGACACAGAATTAATTCTGTTTAAGCCAGTCAGGGTGAGTATTGCTGGCATGTTTTCCTGTAGGTGTTGGGTCTTCGTTTGGTTTAAGACTTTAAACACATTTTGTGGGACTGTTCACCTCATATTTCTGTGTTTGTTATATATATAATATATCTATAAAGATGTATGTATGTATATATTTATAAGTGTATACAGACACACATACGTACACATACCTAAGGAGTTATTTCAGGCTACCAGTCCAGCCAGTAAACATGAGACAAATACCATGCACATGTAATAGTGAATAGTCACTGTGGTGTCCCTGATCTGAGAAGCGTGTTGGAAAGATATGTGCAATGAAAAAAAAAAAGAAAAAAAAAGGAAAAAGTTTTATGATGATATCTTTAGCTTAAAAAAATCCGACAGCCCAAACAGCTGTCCTGTTCTGTTGTGCTCAGCCTACATAACACACACCCCCACACATTACAGGGGAGTAACTGGTGCTGTTTATTCTGCCTATCTTCCACTTGGCACTATGTGAGCTACCATAGAGAACTCTGTCCCAGCCAAAACCAGTACAGCTTGGTCAGTTATGCATGGGCAGGAGCACTGGAGGCAGAGAGGATGATACAGATTCAATGGAAAACCTACTGTAAGCCTCCAGAAAGAACCAAGCTTGAATTATAAGCTTCCAGGTTAAGTCCTTGGGACTCAGTGTTCGAGTTTAGCACATCTCAGCTGAGGATTTTCTCCCACAGCTAATGTGGATTCCTTGTAGCTGTTTTGGGACTTGTCTTAGAAGAAAAGCTCTTAAAGCTCAACTGCTTCTCCCTGCCTGGTCACTTCAGTAGCTATTCCATGTACATTGTGCTTATTCTGGTTCACGTTCAAGATGGGTGTTGTGGTTTTTAATACTGAGTTTTTTCTTCCTTCCTTTAAAAGAATAACATTCAGCAGATGTTCCAGAAACTCCATGCTTTGTTAAAGGAAGAATTTAGTAATGAAGATCTCCAGATCATAGCTTGTCCTTCCATGGAACAGGTATATATTGAATCCCTATTCTGTCAGTTGCCCTTTGATGTGACTGGCATTTTTAAACATTGGGTTTTTTCATTTTCAGTATTTCCAGTGTTTTTTATTTATTTATTATCCCCCTTAATCCTGGATGATTAAACTCAGGGCTTTATCTGAACTTGAGGCTGTCAGCTAGAAGGGGGCTTTGTTTGGGTTCTTTTTTAATGAATATCTAATAGATTTTCTTAAACCAAAGTGGTGATTGATGTTGCTGGGGATTGAGTTGTACAAGACTGTAGAAGAGTCTTGCCATTTCTAGACATTGTCTTTTCAGAGAGATATCAAAGTTAGTGAATACACTTTAAAAAAGCCTGTGCATTTGAAGGCAGTCTTGCTTTTGACAAGTACAAAGAGCAGCAACTTTTACATTTGGGAAGCATTGAGAGAATTACTAGGGTGCATTTGAAGTGAATTGCATTGGGCAGATGTGCAGATGTTTATGGAAGTGTAACCCTACATGGTAAGGTCTTTAGTCTCAGAGATGATTGGGGTTAAGAATTCTCTGTATTAGGATGCTCTGGCAGAAACCAAGTAGGTTTTATAAAATGTCGCTTTGACCTTAGTGATCCAGGGAATGTGGATAGAATCTTGATTATCCCAGGATGCCAGTATTTAAACAGATAATCTAGTTTATGGATTAGAGTACATGCCTGCAGTGAATGTGGCCACAGGGATGGCCTGTGTGTAACTGTCCTGGAGCACAGAGTTATACACCAGAAAAACGTGAGGTTATCCCAGAGGAGATGGCTTCCTGAAGTTGTTTATTTGTTATTCCTTAGGATCACTTATCCTACAAACTCAAGTGTATGGGAAACTGTATTGTAATATGTGGGAAACAAGCATTGCAAAGGATCCCAAATGCATTTCAGATATCTAAGATGAATGTTAACATTTTTTTGCTAGTGTGCCCGTTTTTTGGAATTTCTTGACAGCACGTGAAGTCGTCTTAGAAACTTTGACACAGTAGGGTATGACTGCTGAAATGACTAGTCAGCATGGTCAACAGTTGCATTTTAAAAAGCCTGTGAGTAGGCATTTGACTGGAAATTTTGGCCAGTTGTTTTGTAGCTGTCTTCTCCTGTTTAATGTGCTTCCTGGGAATCCTGGTTAAAGATTAAGAAATAACACATCAGTTCTGAAGCTTAGCTGCTCTGTCTAACGTAGGCTTTCCTTTTGTATTTCAGGTGAACTTACTGTTATCCATGTCTAAGTAGACCAGCAGTGAGGCTGCTTGAAATAAGCTTCAGCCGAATGCCAGGCAGTCAAGGGAACGCAAGGAGGTTTGCTTGAAGTAAACGAGGGATCCAACTGTGCTGTCCAGTCTGCATCAAAAATATCCAGTCTGCTGCTTAACTGTGTTTTAAGGGGGAAAAAATAGAAAAAAATCCAGGTTTATTGATTTGTTAAAGGTCTTCCTGTTTGTTGGCTTGAGAAGTGGGCAGAAGAAAACAAACCAAAAAACCCTTTGCTGGTCACTCTTATGGAAGCTCAGTTACTGCCTTATCCAGATATTTTCACAGTGAAACCCTTTATTTGTTTTTAATGTAAAAACTGCTCTTGCTTTCCCTTAATAAGCTGATGTATGCAGTGGGAAGTCATACTTTCAGAGGCATGCTGGAAATAAAGTTCAGGGAATCAAATGGGACCAGTAATAGATACTTGCAAGACTTGGGAGATAAGCACTTTGGTATGACAATTCAACTAAAGCAGGCATACTCTGAGTTTTTCTTTAACTCCCCCCAAATCCTAGTAATCCACCACGTGCTTGAACATAATTCAGAAGTTCTTAGTTGGGAAAACTTTATTTCCCACATGTGAAGTGTTTCTTCATACACTGGATGTGCTGTTTTTCTTACACTGTTGTGACTGGGAGCTGTGAGGTATGACCTAAAGTTTCATGCTCTATGTAAAGAACCTCAGATCCTTGGGATTTGCAGTGGAAAGCTGTCCAATACAATTTCTGGTATTGCTGAGAGAACTGCACTGTTTTCAGAGGTTTTCTAGCAAAGCTTAGCATAGAGGTTCTCAGCTACTTAGTTTTAGGGTAGAGTTTGCTTTTCCCAAGATCAAATGGTGGTGTTACATTGTTTAAAGTGGGAACTGAGACGGGAATTTGGAATTAAGTATTTACAAGGAGGTGTGGGGTGCCTGAAATTGAACGTGGAAGCCAGTCAAATCAGCCTTGTAAACAGAGAGTAAGTTCTCAGTAAGTGGTGAACAATGAATGCTGTTCAGTGTGCGTTAATCGGTCATCAGTGTGAAAAGCTGAATGCTAAAGGATTGGCCATCAATGGAATGAAGCACTTTAAGCAGCTTCAAGGTGTCAGTGTGTAAATCTTTACTGTGCAGTGCTGCAGAGCAAAAATGTAGTGAGTGACATGGCAGATTTTTAACTTACTGATAAAACTTGTTCTTTAGTTTAAAAAATGCAGCAATTTCCGTATGCATCGGTGGTGTTTTGATTTAATAATTTTCCTGTTACAAATTTCATGGCTGGAGAATAAGATGGAAGGATTTAAAGCTACCATGAGAAGTGTTGCAGCAGTGCTGCTGAGGTACATAAATGGTACTTATAGGACCTTTACATGACTCTAAAAATTAACTAAAGGAACTAATGAGGAGGAAAACTTGCCCTTTCTTTCCTTATGTAGGAATACAGGCTGTAAAATAATGTCCAGTGCACTGTAATATATGTATATTTGTTTTTTATAAAGTTTTTCAGAAGGACTGCATGGTCGCTGTACAGAGTGATACTGACTTAATACAGACATTGTACAGAAAAGACATGAAGGGTAAACCATGGCAGTAGTCACTCCTGTGCTTGAGATCTTTTTCTCTCTTGGGGTACCCAGACAGCTCTAGGACAGCTGGTGGAGAGAACAGACATCAGTTTATACAGCCTGTTTGCTAAATGAGCATTTGTTTAAACATGTACAGTTTCAGATATTTACGTTTACAAATAGTGTAAATACTTTCAAAAGATTAATTTAAGATGCTTTATATTATCTGACTAGAAACTTGCTGTTTTTAATTTTTTAAAATAAAAATGTTGCCTCCTATTTTGGTCCAAGAGTAAAGCTTTATTCTGTATCCTGAGGCTTGTCTGTCAAGATAACTGTAATACAGAGACAATAAACATCCTGTAAGCACAGGCAGTGCATTGCTGAGAAGTGTTCTTTTTTTAGGAGTAAGAGAATTGAGTTTATTTGGCACAGATGTATACCTGAGTGCTGAATGTACAGCTAATTGTTAAATTAATGCCTCTTTATGGTTATAATAAAAGTAAATTTGTATTTTCTTTACTGACAAGCAATCTTGTGTGACTAAGTGGTCTCTTTCCTTGCAATTTTGTTAGGGGGAAGAAACCACAACTGTGATACAAAGACATATTTTAGCTAGTTGGCTTTTACTAAGAGAAAACTTGAGAGCTGGTGGCAGAAAGCACAAGTATTATTGTATTTGGTCACTGTTCTTGTTGCCTGGTTACTCACAGACTCACCTACCCAGTTTCTTATTACCACATAGTGGTGTTCTGACTCTTGCTATTGTAGAAACACATTATCCAAGGGGCTTGTGGTTTGTCCCCTGTGAGGTCAGCATGAAGCTTCCCTTCAGCCTTTGGCTTTGACAATGTCATTTGTATGAACTAACCTAAACAACAAAACTCTCCTCCCCTGTGGAATTTGGCTTTTATCTGGCAGGTATGGGGCAGTGATGTGTGACTATAGCTTCCTAGGTGCTTGGATCCTCCTAAAGAGGTTTGGCCCTTTGGATGACATCTCGTAAATGAGGTGAATGTCAAAGCAGCTGGCCAGGCATTCACCCTTCTTTTTGTACAAGAGTGACTTCTGCTGCATAACTTTATGCTGTGCCTTGTGTTTTTCGAGGAAAACTAATAGGCCTTTCCTCAAACTGTGTTTGGTTTCAACAAAGTGATCTGGGTACAAAAAGGGGAAAAAGGTTGTGCTGCAGTAGCAACACGTAACTGCAGCTAGATCCAACTCTGTGTGTACAAATGCTGCTTTCTCCTACTGTCATGGATTTTCGTCCTTATGAAACCCTAAAACTAAGCCAACACTGTGGAACAAATCAGACCTCTGAATAGAACAAAAAGAAAAAAAATCAGTTGACCCCTTTCAGAGGTGCTCCTAAGCTGTGGGACTTGCCTTCTACCACCAACTGGAGCCCTGAAACCCAAGAGACAACTCATCTTCCCTCTCCTGGATTTCCCCCAGTCCCTGTACCCAAGCTGCGGTTCATCCTCCCCTCTCCACCAGCCTGGGTGTCTCTGGCTGAGGGCCAAAGCAAGGCTTGTCAGTCACACTTGGTACAACTAGTTCCCAAAGTTTCCAGTTCATCAGCTGTAGGACGGAAGCTTATCTGCTTCAAAATTCTGTGCATTCAGTGTGCAGCCCCACGGATCAGACTATGATCCATCAAATGCTGTCACCTGAGACGAGCTTGGTGTTGCTAGGACCTGATGTACAAGCAGATAGGCATTGTGAGCTTGGAAAAAAGGAGCTTTATTTTCTTTGTTAAGTGACTGTTACCACCTTGATGAAGGAAAAGTTGATCTGAAATGCTGACATAACCGCTTGCTATGAGCGTTAATATCTTCATTTCGGTATGTCATGTAGATAGAAGATGATGAAATGCAAGGAGTGATAACCCTGAGAAAGGGATTGCCAGAAGTATTGCAGCATTGACTATTTTGGACAGCAGGCTCCTGAGCTGAATCATTTTAGACTGAAGGAGGAGCTCTTCTTTGCTTTCCAGCCACTTAAGTAGGTGACTTTTCTCTGGGTCTTGCAACTGCAAAAAGAGTCTGTGCAGAGTGAAGAGTATTAATGTTAAACACTCTGAGGGAAGGCTGAGTGGGAAAGCATCCCACATCTCTTGTAACCCAACCTTTCACACTTGGCCATGTCATGGGTGTCCTTTCCCTCCATGCCCATGGAGCACACTGACTCTATGGCTCCCCTCTGGAGCTGATCCTCTTCTAGGGCATGTACAGGGGAACTGAGGAGCTAAACTAATGACTTGAGCCTGCTTTGGTGGGAGTGGGCTGCCCAGAAGTAGTGGGGCAAGGAAGATTACTTTCTTACCTAACATAGCAATCAGTCCTGAGAAGAAGTCTGAATTTTGGGTGTCAAAAAGCAGAAGGCAGTGCTTTATGGTTCTGCATGCTTGGACCCTTGGGTTGTTGCTACTGTAGAGGTCTGTTTCCATTACCAATACATCTGTGGCCCCTTAGACTATTGCTGTGAGGGCTTTGTGTCTGCATCAGGGAAGACAACTTGAATCCTTCACCCTGAGGCCTCAAACCCCAACCAAGCATGAGCAATGTCTGATCTGTGTCTCAGAGCTGACCAGTTATGCTTGCAACCAGCAAAGAGCAGGGTTACACACCAGTAGGCTGGGACAGTCACACCAGCACCAAGCAGGGCTGAGCCCTGGCCAGAGCAGCATTTCCACCTGAAAGGAAGAGTCAGAGGTGGGATACATAGATGACAAAATATACCAAAGGATTTTGGTATCTCTCCCCAGATGTCTGTTTCACGTTAAGTGAAATGCTGTTTAGATAAAATCAGAAGCTTTGTGCTTGTATTGACATTTAATATTAAATGTTTTGAAAAGAAACGGTGTTTCAAAATGAATTTTTGAGTCTTGTTGTTCTTACCCTTCAGCAACAGCATTTCAATCTCATCTAAATGCTTTCCTGAAAGGGAATTTCATTAAGAGTCACACAGGCAGGAAATTTGGTTTTCAACGAAACGGTGATTTTTCCACATGAAAATCTGTGACCAGTGTCAGATAGCAGTCCCAAGCTTATCTCCACGGGGTGGTTTCCGTGCTGCTCTCCAAGGAGCTGGTAGGCAGGAGCTGGCTGGGCAGGGCTACCACAGCAAGGGCTCACCTTGATCTGGGACCCCACATTGAAACACAATTGCTGTGGCTGGTGAACAAGTAAGTCAATTTTGATCCTAACCCAGGGTTTTAATGGTGATGTGGCTGTTCAGTTTCCTGGTGATGGACTGGAAAGAAGGGATGTGCAAGTGGTGGCTGAAGTTATGCTATTTCTAGTGCTTCTGTCTGGCCCCTGCCTGATCCATGCAGATCACAGGCGGAGTGGGGGCTTTGTGTGTGTACCCCTTGTTCTACTGCATGTCTTCATCTTCTGAAAGTCCCTGGACATGGGAGTTTCTTTTGCTATGGCAGCCTTTATACTAAAAAGATCTTGATGCACATGTGCATGGTCATGCATGTGGCTGAGT